ACTTCTCACACAAGAAACGTCACCGTCTTACATGGGAACCGCCAACCTCTTCACAACGCTGGACCCAGATCGACCACATTGCCATCAGTTACCGCTGGAGGGAAACAATTCAAGACTGCCGGTCTTACTAGTCAACAGCTGTGAATACAGACCACGCTTTGTTACGAGCCAAGTTCTCCCTACGCCTGGCAAACAAACCGCAGAAAACCCATCAAAAACCCAAGATACAGCGTCCGCGATGGCTGCAAATCACCCTTCGAAGCGGAACTATCAGATCGCCTGTCAGTTCAACGATCAGTCGAAAGACTCAATGAACACTGGAAGCAAATCAAGGAAGCTATGCAAATATCATTAAAACAACGTCGGACCCTGGCGCAGGTTCAAAACACAAACGATGGATCTCGTCGACCTCGGCTGCCCTGCTGGACGTCCGCAGAACCCTTCCTCCGGATGCCACATATGACAGAGCGCAAATCCCTTAAACGCCAGATCATCAAGAGTTTAAGGAATGACCGCGAGAAGTGGCCGGTAGAGAAGTGTAGAGAGATGGAGAAGGCTGCAGCTATCGGCAATAGTCGCTTTCGTTTCCGTCTAATTAGGAATACAGGCCCCCGGGAAATTAGGCGTGAATGAGGTAATTAGGGATACAATGGCACACTGATTCACGATCAGCAACGCCGTCTTGATCGATGGGCTGAACACTTCAAGGCTCAGTTCACCTAGTCCCCATCGATATCTGATCTTTCACCCTCCACCTTGACTGGGCAAATAGTGCCAATTAATGCTAGTCCTCCGTCTGAAATGGAGGTTACCCGGAAAATAAGTTACCTCAAAAGGTGNNNNGAAAACCACAGAGGAATTAGTTTAATCAACATTGCCTCTAAACTTCTCGTAGGTATCATACTCCGTCGATTGTCTGCCGCTCGTGAAGAGTACACACGTGAGAACCAGTTTGGTTTCAGATCTGGTCGAGGCTGTATTGACCACATTTTCACACTTCGTCAAATTCTAGAACATAGACACTTCTTCCATAGGTCCACCATTTCTATCTTCCTTGATCTAAAAGCGGCTTTCGACTCAGTCGACCGATCTTAGTCGCTGTCACCAGCGTGCTCTGGACCTT